ATTAATTATTGAGAGAGAGAATTATGCTATAGGACACATGTGCTCCCCAGAGAGACAGGGAGAGACAGAAAGACAGAAAGCAAGAAATCACCCCCCAAGGGGATGGCCATGCCGTAATTCTTTCTCCTCCGTTCTCCTCTTGGGATTCTAGGCACATATACATGGACGCCCGGTGTGAGTTTAAGACTCTGGATCCAGAACTCCAACTGTGGTTGACTACATGGGAGTCCAGCAACATAACCATTATACCATGTGCTGGTCCTCCATTGATTAAACGTAATAAAACTGAGAAATGCTATTTCCTTTTCAGTGTTTGCCTCAATCTGTAGAACCATATAGACTCCATCTAGAGATAATTTTCCACGTGTCTAATTTTAAAAAATTAAACAAAAACACTTATGTGCAAACATTCTTTTCTCCTACTTTGTTTCCTCAAATTCAAGGCACTGAAACCTATATAATATAAAAGCCCAATAAATCCGCGGGCAGGTGCTTGAATTGGAGTGTCACACATTCAGCACTCTTCCAAACTGATGCTAAAAATAGGTAATAACAAATCCCTCCCTAAAAATAGCATCATGAGAAAGTTTCAAGACAGAAACATGGTAGGAAAATAAGGAGTCAGTCTGTCCCAATAAAAAGGGGAGCTCTCATGACTTACGAATCAGCTCTGTGGACAATGCTTCAGATGGTAGGAAGTGGGGTAGTGTCTGAGGAGGGCGAAGGAAGTCGCTGCTGCCTTTTCTCTTTTCTCTCCTTTGCCTATTTATAATTCCAGGACAAAAATAACCCTGGAAAAGCTTAATAGTTAAAAAAACAAACAAACAAACAAAAAAAACAATTGCCTGGGCTGGCAGGTGGTGTGGTGGTTAAGATGGCTGGACTCCCACATGGCTGACCGTGGTTCCAGTCCTGGACCTGGCAACTTGCTTTTTCACTTTCCTTCTCTCTCTCTGTCTTTCTCTGGTCAACTTCAAAAATTAAAATAATGACAATGAATAAAAATAAAATAATTCTTTTTTTAAAAAGTTGTCTTTTTTTGCTTCACAAGGAAAGTAGGAACAAAGCAACATGTTGAGTATAGAGTAGGAACACCTAAAGGAGAGTCCTCACCCCCACTTGTAACCAGAAGATTCCAGAAGTCCATAGCTAATGGGAGCCTCCACTTTTACAACACCTGGTTCAATGTTTTGAGGTGATGATGAGAAACTAAATTGTTTAAGAAGTGTTTATAAACAATCATGTTGCAGATATTCTTTCACAGGTGTTAGCTTGATGGATTTTCATAAATATTCTTGTTTAACGGCTCAGTACACTGAGCTCCAGGCTAGTAAATAACTTGCCTGACCACCTAGAATAAGAAAGGTCAGGGCCCAAACTTGACACAGAAATCCTAAGTCCGAGATTTCCTCAATATATTATTTATGTGTTTGGAAAAGATGCGACAGGAAAACCCAGAGAGACCATGAATGGAAAAATGAAAGGTACCTGTGAAGGGAGGTAGCTATGACGCCTTAAACCATAGATGGCAAAATGAGGAATAGTGAAATTAATGAAGTCAAAGAAATGTGGATAATTCATAATTATATATCGAGGAGAAGAAAAGAAAAAAGACATGAGAATGCTAACATTTGACCTTGATATCGTGTAATTACATTTGTCGTAACTTATTTAAGGAAAAAAAGAAGAAAAAAGTCATAAACCTACTCCAAAAACTGCCAGCAGAGGGCTTTCTGCTAGGTGCATTTGCTTTTGATTATTGACCGGCTCCTACATTTACTATATAATATACCCTCTATCTGAAGCTTAAAAAAAGGGGGGGAGTAGTATTAACACCCTCTTTTCAATTACAAACTGAAATTAATAGAAGTGAAATGGGAAAATACCAATATAACGATCGAGGATGTTTCCAGTGCTCTTCCACCGAAGTGGGAAAGTGAGTGTCCTGAAAAAGAAGTAAAACAAGATGAAATGATAAAAATGCAAATTTTACTCGTCTAACTTCCCTTTAAAAGTCAGAGTTTGCCTCTGAGTTTGCATCTACTATGATTTTGAGGAAATGTTTTTCTACGTCACGCGATTGGGTGTTAAAGCCAAACGCCATAGAACAGACAGGCTTGCTCAAGTTAGGGAATTTTTTTTCTCGGTAAAAGGTGGAGCGTTTATTTGTTCATTGTTTCAGGCGTCTTGACTTTTTGATAGTTAAGCAATGATTTCTGAAATTAGTAGATTAATAAGAGTTGAGCTTTTAAAATGTTTTTAGCACGGTTTTCAAGAACGGGGGGAAAATAAATCTTCGCCGAAAAAATAAAAATCCAGCGTTGTGTAGGTTTTGCGTCTACAAAATCCCGACAGAGGGCGCTGTTGCCCGTTCAATGACAGGGAAAGCTAGCTACTTGGGAAAGGTTTACCTTGTAATTTCTAGGATTTTTCGAATAATATCCATGTTGAAAAATTAACTAGGGTTTTAGTTATTGTTACGTATTTCCTTGGGTATCTATATACGAGCATATTTGTTAGGCTTATGCTTTATTGTTAATAAAAATAGATGTGATTTTTCAGTTTTCCTGAAGAATTTAAATTATAGCTAAATATTTTAGGAAGTTTATACTTTTAAAAAACCTAATATTAGCATAAAATAAAATTACATATGAAAAATTTGAATTCATACTTATAAGGCTATTAGTTATATTAACATAATGCATAATATCTTTTAAGTTTCTCTAAATATAAAATTATGCCTTTCCCATTATTTTGTTTTGTTTTGTTAAGCCTTAAAGTTTATTTCTTTTGTGCTAATCAGTGATATACCAAGAAGAAATGGAAATACGTTAAAAACATTTTAGAAAAAGGAAAAAAATGTTTTTTTCCAAATGCTTTTTACTTAGATTGGGGTGATCTTTAGATAATTAAGATAAGGGAGTTACTGATTTGAGAGAAAGAAGACAATTATTTCCATTTATAAATTTGTGTCTGGAGAATCTGACTTTCCAAATTGATATTAAATAATATTTTCTCTCTCAAAGTATTGATCTAAGACTGATTTTTGGTTCTAGAAGGAGGGGTGTGGAACCCTTTACAAGTCCTACCACACAGTAAAATTAAAACATTTCCTTCCAATCCCCTAACTAGCTCTGGGGCCAAAGAGGAAATCTTTGCTGATGCTTTAGCAGAAAACTTATATAGATTCTGTATGATTTAAGGTTTAAATACTTACAGGGTAATGACGGAGATGAGAAGGGAAGGAGGGAAAGAAGTGGGAAAGGAATGAAAAAAGGATGGAAGGAAGACAGGCTAGAAGGAAGGAAGGGCGGCGCGAGGGAAAGAAAGAATGAATGGCGGGATGAAGGGAAGAAAGGAAGGAGAGAAGGAGGGATGGGAGGGAAAGGCAAAACAGAAATTAGAACTGAAAATGAAGAAAGGGTTTATTTCTGAAGTTCCTTCTGAAGCATCTTCTTCGTGTTCCTTTTATTTGGGTTGAAAAAAATAAATTAAAAATCTGCACAATTGTTTGTTCTGCACTATACGAAACGTCTTCTTGGTTTTTACCGAATCGGTCTCCACCGCGGTTGTCCAGAGCCCTCTGCGCAGAGAGCGTCCGTTCCTGTTCGCACGCGGCAGCGCACAGCAGTTGTGAATTTAAAGTCAATCGCCCTTTGCACATTCACTCTTATCAGGTTTAATAACTTCCACCCCAAATTGCCCCGTCCCTCCTCATTCCCTCCTGTCATTTATTTTCTGCCCCAGGCGCAAAGATCCTCCTCTGAGCTTCCCTTCTGGCTGTGGGGAGCCTTCCGCACCCTGAAAGGGAGTAGAAAAACAGATGGGATGAGAAGAGGGAGAACAAGTATTTACTTCGTGATAAAATTCAGAAGCCTTGTGGCTTAAAGGGTGCCCATTTTCGAGGTTTGGTTAACTTTGTTCTTGTTGTCTTTCATGGTTTGCCTTTAAAAAAAAAAAAAAACTATACAAACTATCTTATTAAGAAAAAATATACTTACAAATGCTCCACACACCATAAAATATTTTTTACTATTTCTTTGAAGAAGATTCTGTTTAAACTTTAAGGTTCAGGTGACCATTTCTTGATTCCCTGTGATTAAAACCACTTCCGAGAGTCATAGACAACTGATGCAAACATACCATGTTCTAAGGCTCTGCAAAGAAAGCTGGAAATTAACATCATCGTGCGAATGTTGCTTCCAGCAACTGAAAAAACTTCATAAAATGGAGACTACAGCCAAGAGGAAGGGCCCGTGAAATCTGTTAAAAAGGCACACGAACAACCCCTAAAACAACAAGCAGTGCCCACTAAGGTGCTCCTCCAGTGTTTTAAGTTTTCAAATGTGTTGGTTAAATGACCAGAAAATATTAGCGATGATCACAGAAATGGCTAGCCCTTTTGTTCTACATTGATAAAGTTCAAAAAAATAAATAAAAAAGTTGTTTAGCCCTCAACACAGGGAGATTACCCTTAAAATCCTCAAATCCAGCTTTGAAATACTCTCCCACTGAACATACGTGAATAGGAGCTTTTGTGTTTGAAATGTTTTAGTCATAATCCCCCTTTAAAAATTTACATAGAAAATTGGGGGCTGATGGTCCCTGGTTTCTCATTTTGAATTGCAAAGACTGTAGTAAGTGGCTACAATGATTCATCATTTTTAATATAGAGGCTTTTAAATGTGTATATTTATATGAATCACCCTGAACAACTATCTTTTCAATGCATGTTTAGAGTCTGTAGACTCTACATGACCCAGGGGTGCTTATATAACTAAATGTGGGTGTCTGGGTGTAAATACGTGTTTATGATTTTTATAATATATATGTCTGTGGGTTGCATCTAACTCCTGTGTGTGTGTGCAATAATGCTTTTCCCTCTGCTGAGGCTTACTTCTCCAGCCTATTGTTTGAGACAACAGATATAAGTTGCGATGGGAGAGGAGCGTCGGATTTGGTGTGTATCCCCCATTTCCAATTATAGATGGATCATTACAGACAGCGGAGTCCTGAGAAGCCAGACATCTGCTCCTCACATGAATGCACTCACCTCCTAGAGACCAGGCTGCCATCATGCTCTGGAAGCTAGTGGAGAATGTCAAGTACGAGGATATCTATGAGGTGAGCCGACACCCCCAGATGCATCTTAGAGGTTTGCAGATAGAGAATTGGAGCTTCTCGACACCCCAACCGATATATAATTTTAAGCTATTTACTTGTAGATTTCTGGTCGGTTTTCTCAGCGTTCTTTAACTTTAGAAAAGCTGGCTTGGGGAGACTTTGCGATTCTGAAAAAGGACTTGGAAGGTTCAGATCTGGCAATTTGAGACGATTTTTGTTTTATTTTCTTTTTCTTTCTCTCTTCCTCGGCCCCCCCCCACCACCACCACCACCTTAGGCTCGGATGGGGAATGTGGGCACCGTCAGAGAAAATAGAGATTCTGATAAGGGCAGGGGTTCTCCTCGTTTTGAGTGTGGGAGAGAACAGGCTTTTCAAGGCTCATTCGTAACAGACTCGGGCTTTTAATTTTTATTTTCAATAAAATTTCTGAGCTCGGTAACAAACGGATCAAAAGAGGGGATAGAAAATTGGGAGAGAGAGGTAAATAGACGGATGGAAACACGGATGGACAGGACACGCTCCTAAAAGCCGGAGCAATGTATTATTTTTCTGTTTTCTTGTATTTTGTTTCTTTGAGAGTCAGTATCCAAACAGAAATCGCATCCGCCCGGTGTTTGGGCATCTTTAATGGCATTTTCTGCCCCCGTTCAGTGCGCACGGCTCTCTAGGACTGTGAAACTCTTCTGGGGCTGGACAAGTTGAGTCCAGCCCGGCGGGTGCCTGCGGCTCGGCGGGG